TTACCACGACGCTCTATGATGACTAGTATTGGGGATGGTTGGAAGAGAGTTAGGGGAGGCCAAACCAAAACATAGCATCAGTGTTTGAAGTCACTAACTTCTAGTCTGAGCCATGTTGGTAGATGCAGACTACCTGGTTGGGGTCCGCGTGAATATCGTAACCAATAGTTGGAGACTCTGTGTGACATGGCTCAGAATCGATCACAATGGCGTAGGTGTATACACTCTTTCTCTTCTCTTAAACCTTGAGATTAAAATTGCTTCATATCTCTCTTCCTTCCTATACTATATTCTTATATACAACCTTTCTTTATATACTACCATCACTAAATTAACTATTTCTATGAATCCGGTGTTCATCTTGTTGTGCTAACGAGGTATGGCAACTTGGACCGATGCATAAATGTGTCTGGTCCTACGTTTTAGCTGACTGACTGACAATATTAACCATTGGGCGGCCTGCTTAAACATCTGAGCTACCTGTTTCTCGTCATCTATATATTTCAACAAATTATCTAATATTGTTTGTTTTAATACATAATTATGGCTATTAAGCACACAACCTATTCCGGTACGTTTCTGAAAACTGTACAACCTTTCGCTGTAAAAGTTACAAAAAGCCTAATCAGAGATGTCGTGTTTGCTGGGAACATGCAGCAAAAAGAATATACATTATTCATATGTCGATTGACTGAACTGCTAAGATCCAACTGGCGATCACTGAATATTTATCATCAGGAGCAACGAAGAAATAAGAAACGTAAACATGTTGAAATACTTTATGCTGAGAATTCGATTTTGTACCAAATAATATAATATTGAATAAAGCTAATAATAATAATAATAATAGACAAAATTTAGTCAACGTAAAAGGATACATTGGAAAAGTACACTAATCATTGATATTAATGATGATTCTATATTAAAAATACATTGTTATCGATTATCATCATAATATTATTATTTAAACACATAAATATCGATACTAGGAAGCACCAGGTACATATGCGCCACACAAATCTGATTTGATTTGTGTGAGGGCTGAGATACTGCCCAAGTGCCCAAACTGAAGCAGGTGGTTTTCTTAGGGGGAAACAACCGGATCCTTTGACGTAAAGGTCTGATCCACAAGGCAGTGGAGCATCGTAAGGATATGCAGTTCCATGGTAGTCGGTGACCAACGATTGATTCATACACCATTTGTTCCTTCAGGATACTGGAGCCAACCCATGTGCTCCATTGGTTTGTAATGAGGGTTTTCCAACTCTCCTAGGTGGACCTTCCGTGTCCACCAACCCGGTTAAAGCACCAGGCATTCGCTTTTCATCCTCTCGATTTCGTAAACAAAAATAATGCCACGAGAAGGCAGTGATTAGGACTTGTGTGGCAGAGGCTATATACTCGTGACCATGTGAGAGCATTTGGAGAGGGAGAGCTGCTTCTCCCTACTCTCAGACGTACCAGGGCATTTGGGGGTTAGTTATAACTCTTCATCAAAATGTGTCTGAAATATCGAAGGTACTGTTGAATTCTGTGTGATTCGAACCATATTTAAAAAGTATTAGTCAAAATGTAATATACGCAAACAATAGATCGCTACTTAATGATATTTATCCTACAGGAGAATAGTTGGAAACATAATTGATCAGTACTAAACGTCTCGGATGGCATCGAATTTCTTGGGCAGCGATGGTTTCCTCAAGATTTCAGATATATATTGTTGAAGAATGTGTACTAGCATAGGACCGGTTAAAGCGCCGGACATTCGCTCTTCGTCCTCTCAATATTTTAATCTCTATATCCATCACCAACTGAAGATTGTTGGATTATAGTTGTACATTTTGTTTAAGATCCATTTGCTTTTTCTAAATACTGGCAGGTATCAAAAACTAAAATATTTCCCTTAATCGACGTTTTAAGCATGCAATGAATATTACTTACTTACTTACTTACTTACTTACTTACTTACTTACTTACTTACTTATTTACTTACTTACGCCTGTTACTCCCAATGGAGCATAGGCCGCCGACCAGCATTCTCCAACCCACTCTGTCCTCGGCCTTCTTTTCGAGTTCTATCAAATTGTTGTTCATTCTTTTCATGTCTGTCTCTATTTTTTGGAGTAATGTGTTCTTTGGTCTTCCTCTTCTCCTTTGGCCTTGAAGATTCCATGTGAGGGGTTGTCTTGTGATGCAATTGGGTGATTTCCTCAAAGTGTGCTCAATCCACTTCCAGCACTTCTTCCTGATTTCTTCCTCCACTGGAATCTGGTTTGTTGTCTCCCACCGTAGAATGTTGCTGATAGTGTATGTAATGAATATTACTTCCAATATTTCTTAGACATATTTTTCTAACAAAAAACTATATTTCACTTGATATTATTTGCTTGTATCATCCCAATGGTACTGGGTTCAAGCCCCGGATGCAGGTACACCCCGCTGATGAGTCCTACATCGGACGAAACGCGCATCAAACTGGATTCCACTGCAAGCTACTATCCATCTATGCTTATAAAAACTATATTTGTTGTTTACATACAATCACAAAATCACTGTCACAAACGTGTTAATTTTTCAATTCACTTAGTATTGTTTGTTTTGAATCTTCTCATTGGCGTGTTAGGACTGCAATTGGTCATTCTCTAATTGGCATATGTCAATGGGAAGATTCAAACAAACAATATTAAGTGAATTTAAACTTCACCCCGTTGCACAAGCAAGTGGCTAACAGGACTCAGTGGCCGAGTGGATAAATCGATGGCTTTTGAAGCGAACGGTATTGGGTTCGAGTCCCAGGGTGAACATCAACTCTGAGATGAAGGTACATCCAACTGACGAGTCCCAAATAGGACGAAACGCGCGTCAAACTGGATTCCACTTCTAGCCACTATCCATCTTTGCTTACCATGTCAGTTTTTGTTGGTTTGTAAAACAAGAAGCAGGCAATCTGGAATGTACAAATATACATGATTCCTCCTGTTTTTCTTTTCAATACACATTAATACAAGCACTTTTAGTGAATATGATTCCAATACTGGTGATTTATGCCTTTCTATAGTTTTGTTTATTATTATTATGATTGTTTAGAAAAATAGAAGAAGGAGGAAGCCTATTTTCTCCTTGATTCATACACTAGTAGTTTACATGTGATACTATTGTATATATCACATGATCTAAGTATAAAATTCTTTTCTGATTCTTTATTTCTTCCTTCCTTCCTTCCTTTTATTGTTCATTAAATTATTTAATAGTTGAATTGATGAGTCAATTAAAGTTAGATCACTATGGAAAACCTGGAAGCACTAGACGACCGTTTCGTCGTAGTATTGGATTCCTCCGTGTTTGTTGTTAGATAGTAACTCATTGAAGACAATGGTGGATGTGGGTTGATTAAACTTACACGTTGACAGCGTTAAACGCCCGCTGTCTCAGTGGTCTATGGGTTACGCGTTCGCGCGCGTGACCGAAGTCCCTGGGTTCGAATCTTGCGTTCAGGGTCGTGGGTGCGCACTGCTGGGGAGTCCCATACTTGGACGAAACGGCCGTCCAGTGTCTCTAGGTTTTCAATAGTGATCTAACATCAATCGGTTCATGATCTCAATCAGAAATATGATAGTAATCCGTAGTTTTTTAAACTGATCATATGTAAGCAACTAAACAAGACTCATATTGAATTCGAATCGTAGATTTGGATTCTACTAAATAACATGAGATACTAGTTAGTTAATTTTACTATAGCCTAATGGTTTATATTTTTCAAATTTACTTGAGAGAGTATGCTAACAAGCATCCACTATCCCGCACTCGCGAGATTCGAACCCAGGACCTACCAGTCTCACGCCAGAGCACTTAGCTGATAGACCACTGAACCGGAATCCAACGGTGTTAATGTCTAACTTCAACTGACCCACGAAGTTGAGCAACCGTTCACCAATTGTCTTCAGTGAGTTGATATCTCACAACAGATGTGGTTTGAACTCCACTGGTCAATGCTTCCCACTAGAACTCCAGGACATGTATCTTGAAGTCAATCGGTTAAGTGCTCTGGCGCGAGACTGGTAGGTCCTGGGTTCAAATCTCGCTCGCAAGTGCGGGATCGTGGATGCGCACTGCCACTGAGGAGTCCCATAATAGGACGAAACGGTCGTTCAGTGCTTCCAGGTTTTCCATGATGGTCTAGCTTCAATTGACTCATGATTTCAACTAGTTGTAATGTATTAAAAACTGGTAATATTAACCAACAAAGTGATTCTTATTAACCCTATAAAGCTATTCATTATTGATAGATCAAATCTTCGATAGTTAAGTTTATTATTTATTTAATGACTCTAACAAATGGTGATAGGGTTCGAATCCACACTTTTAATATTTGAAAACTAACTATTTCAAGTCAACAATCTAGTGTTCTTGTTGATTATAGTTTGTCAAGTCAATTTTACGACGCTCCTCTAAGAGCAGTTCTGCTGTATTCTTCGAAAACCTGGTCCTTGTAATCTGATCCTGTTCGACCTCTCTCTATGGGTTCAATCATTGTTATCTTTAAAGAATTGCTAACAACCAGTAGCAATACGACGTTAGTAATCCCAAGGTACGGGAATTAGTATTTGATCACAGAGACAATAGTTCAACCCTTACCGCCATCTTGAGACACTGGCTTATATATGTTTAACAAATATCACACATATGGCTTTCATACTACGTACTATTTTTTGACTCTGAGACTATGTAGAAAAGGTAGGGATCTGGTCAGCTTATCACATTGCTTTGTATAATAGACTTATGTCTGCCAGTTCATCACGAATCCCCCGGTCGTGGTCGGAGAGATGGTACAATCCACTGACTCAACATCTTACATGATTCCTTAAAAAAAAACAATTTCACACGACCTCACGCATATTTCTATCTATGATCCTTAATATTTGTTTCCCCTTCACATCTATATATTATGTATTTTTAATTTTATTGTTGTTTTGATTCGCCCTCCAAATACACACACACAGGAAAGTATGCTCAATGGACGTATACATCCAGTTGGACAAGTTGAAGGATTTTCAATTGAATTAGGCGCTAGTGGTTCATTCTATCCAAATCATATACGTCTTCCAATGAAAGCATATTTTTTTAATTTATCCGATGATAATGCACCGTCACCTTATTTAGGCTATGCTGATTTAAAACAATTACCTAATAATAAAGGTTATCATATACCAAAGAAAGGTTCCATTCAAGTAAGTTTATTGTTGTGTTTCTTTTTTTTCATTTCCTTATTATATGTGGATAATTTCGGCCCCCATATGCACTGGTACGGCCGAGAGTGAGGAGAGTCCGCTCTCACTCTCCAAATACTCTCATATGGCCACGCGTATATAGCGTCTGCCAGGGAAGTCCTACTCACTGCCTTCTCGCACCACGGGTGTTGTTTACAAAATTGAGAGGACGAAAAGCGAATGTCCGACGCTTTAACCGGATCGGTGGACACGGAAAGTCCATCTAGGGTAGTTGGAAAACCCTGATTCTAAACCAACAGTATATATGGGCTCCAGTATCCTGAAGGAACAATTGGCGTATAAATCAATCGTTGGTCCTCGGCTACCATTGGGACTTCATCTCCTCACAATGCTCCACTGTCTTGTGGATCAGACTTTCAGGTCAAAGATTTGAATCAATATATACATGTATCAGGTTCCACTTTTTGTTTAACTGACTGACTGACTCATCTGTAGACAGGTCGAAAGTAGAATTAACTAACATTTAACTTTGAAAATTATAAAAGCTTTAGCCTCCCTATAGAAGACTGTGAATTCTGTCGAGATCATAGAGATGTGTCTTGTTAATGATTGAAACTGTCAAACAGAATCATGAAGTCATTATCTATGTTAAGCCAGTTAACTTGGTGACTACATTCATACTTAATCATAAAGGAAACTAGCCTATAAATTGCAGTATCCATTAATATTGTTACGACTCCGGTCTCAGCTGTTTACGTTGGGGAAATTCAGTTGACAAATGAACTCAATAGTATAAAATCTTCAAGGTAGTAACCAGATTTAGTCAAAATTTACCAAGATCAGCCCCTGTGGGTTGATGTCTAATATGATCTGAACATAGTCCCAGAAAGTTCACTTGGCCCTTATCAAGTTGTATTATCTGTGAGGAAGGCGAGATGTCCTCCCAGAGGCCGAGTTTGATCCGTAGCAGTTCTTTCTTTATTAATGTATGGCTGTGAAACATGTTCTGTTAATTTAGAAGTTATGTGCATGTTTTCAGTCATAGATATCTTCTAAATACTATTTTCATATCGTCGAATTACTGATTAAACAATACTGAAGTTAGGTATAGGGTACTAGGAAAAGATGGTAAAATGACTGATGAATTGGTAAATCTTCCTCGACTAAGGTGATGAGGACATGTATCTATCACTTAGAACTAACTACCGCCCTTTTCAAAAGCGAATGTTCGGCGCTTTAACCGGGTTGGTGGATGTGGAGGATCTACCTAGGGGAGTTAGAAAACCCTCATTCCAAACCAATGGTGCACATGGGCTCCAGGATCTTGAGGGAACGAATGGCGTATGAACCAACTGTTGGCCACAGGCTACCATGGGACTGCATCTCCTTACGATGCTACACTGCCTTGTGGACTAGACCTTTAGGTCAAAGGCTCCGGGTGTGGCCCCCTAAGAAAACCACCTGCTTCAGTCTGGGCACCTAGGCAGTATCACAGCCCTCACACAAATAGAATGAGATTTGTGTGGCGCATATATATCTGGTGCTTCCTTGTACTAATATTTATGTGTTTAAATAAATAAATGGTGCTTCCTTTTCAATTGACAATATTTTCTGATGTAAGAGTAGATTGGAAAGCAATCAGAGTTGACCAAATTAAAACATGACATCGAAGCATAAACTTATTGACTATTGGTCTGAACTATGCTGGTAGATGCCAACGAATTGGTTTGGGGACTTAAACTGACATGGCTCAAAAGCGGTAACACTAATGCAAATGTATTCACTTTTTATCTTCTTTTTCAATCTTTAGTTCTTTCGTACACACACACACCTTTTAATTCCGATTTTTTAAACAATATTCTCAGTAAGCAAAGATGGATAGTGGCTAGCAGTGGAATCCGTTTCGTCTTATTTGGGATTCGTCAGCTGGATGTTCCTACATCTCAGAGTTGATGTTCACTCTGCGACTCGAACCCAGTACCATTTGCTTCAAGCGCCATCTCACTATCCACTCGGCTACTGAGTTCTGATAGCCACTTGCTTGTGCAATGGGGTCGAAGCAATACGCACAGTATGCACATATGCCAATTAGAGACTGACCAATTTCAGTCCTAAAGCATCAATGGGAAGATTCAACCAAACAATACTAAGGAATTTAATATTCTCAGTGTTTAATCTTTATCATCATCATTACTACTATGATTATTTCAACTTCACTATTTTTATTATCAGGAAAGGGTTTTGTGGAGATTTCAGTATTTTCATAGTTGAAAGAGTGAGTCAATTGAAGCTAGACCACCATGGATAACCTGGAAGCAGTGCTTGACGACCGTTTTGTCCTATTATGGGACTCCTCAGCAGTGCGCATTCATTCATTATTTATCTCGTTATTCTAATGTAGTATGGCGACTTATACTCATAAACATATTTCTTAGACTCTATGTTGATTATAACTAACTTAAGATCTATTCGATCTACTATTTATTTATTTAAACACATAAATATTGGTACAAGGAAGCACCAGATACATATGCGCCACACAAATCTCATTCTATTTGTGTGAGAGCTGTGATACTGCCTAGGTGCCCAAACTGAAGCAGGTGGTTTTCTTAGAGGACCACACCCGGAGCCTTTGATCTAAAGGTCTAGTCCACAAGGCAGTGTAGCATCGTAAGGAGATGTAGTCCCATGGTAGCGGATGACCAACGATTAATTCATACTCCATTTGTTCCCTCAAGATCCTGGAGCCCATGTGCACCGTTGGTTTGAAATGAGGGTTTTACAACTTCCCCAGGTGGACTTTCGGTGTCCATCAACCCGGTTAAAGCACCGAACATTCACTTTTCATCCTCTCAATTCCGTAAACAACAGTAATGCCGTGAGAAGGCAGTGAGTAGGACTTCCCTGTCAGAGGCTATATACGCGTGGCCATATGAGAGTATTTGGAGATTGAGAGCGGACTATCCCCACTCTCGTCTGTACCAGGGCATTTGGGGGCACTTCATTTCATGTTCATCTTTATGGTGTTCAATTCTATTTATTTATTCATTATAAAATTAAGTTAGTAACTATCTGACAAAGACTCATATTAATTGATTATTATTTACACAGATATGGAAAGCATGTGATTTCTATCTTCTTTCGATCGATCCATTTTGAGTGCTCGTGTTTGTGGTTGTGTCTGAATGTTTGTGTAAACACAAAAATATTCTGAAAGTCTTGTGATTTTGTTGTTTTGTTTTCGCATCTCGAGAGCGCATTTCAAATCGAAATCAACTTTTTATTCTATTATTCTGTCTAGATCAGTCTGTCAATCAGCTACAATATTTAGAACCAGGCACATATATATATGCATCGGTCCAAGTTACCATATCTCATTAGCACAACAAGATGAACATCGAATTCATAGTAGATACTTCAATGGTGGCAATATTACAAAATAAAGATTGAATATAAGGTTATAATACAGATCTGCCTATGTTATTGATCAATATACGTCTACACTTATCGGATTGCATTTTGTGTTTTCATAGCCCCCAAATGCCCTGATACGGCCGAGAGTGTGGAGAGTTCGCTCTCACTCTCGAAATGCTCTCACATGCCCACGCGTATATAGCCTCTGTCAGGTAGATCCAACTCACTGCCTTCTCTTAAAAGGTGGTGTTGTTTACGAAATTGAAAGGACGAAAAGAGAATGTCCGGCGCTTTAACCGGGTTGGTGGACAGGGAGGATCCACCTAAGGGAGTTGGAAAACTTTTATTCCAAACCAATGTTGCATATGAGGTCCAGTATTTTGAAGGAACAGATGGCGTATGAATGAATCGTGGATCACCGGCTACTATGGGACTGCATCTCCTGACGTTGCTCCACTGTCTTGTGGATCAGATCTTTAGGTCAAAGGCTAACAGTAAGATCCAAGATTCACCTTTCGTCCTATTTGAGATTTGTCAGCCGGATATACCTGTATCATCGTTGTGCAATTCATTGTAAGACTCGAATCCATTAGTAGTATCTTTCACTTCAAACGCCTAACGTGTTCTTCTTTGAGTTATTTAGTCTAGATAACCACTAATATATTCAACGATTGTGAAAGTCTTTGTAAGGATTTTAGCTTCGTCTTGTTGAAGCGAAAGATGTTAGGTTTGAGTTTGATCATGTACATCAATACTGGAATGTAGATATATCATGTTGAATAATCCTGAAATAAACGAGATTTGCATCCTTCATTCCACTGTTAACCAAATGTATTACATTTCAATAAATACTTCTTGTATGTATGCAAAGATGGATAGTGGTTAGCAGTGGAATCCAGTTTGACGCGCATTTCTTCCTATTTGGGACTGGTCAGCTGGATGTACATGCATCTCAGTGTTGATGTTCACTTCGGGAACTCTAACCCAGTACCTTTCACTTCAAACGACATCGCGTTATCCACTTGGCCACTGGGTTCGAGTCCCAGAGTGAACATCAACAAATCTGAGATGCAGGTACATCCAGCAAGTGACGAGTCCCAAATAGGACGAAATGCGTATCAAACTGGATTCCACTGCTAGTCACTATCCATCTTTGCTTACAATGCTTATGAATTAAGGCTATATCAAGGCAATACACACAATATGAACATATGCCAATTAGAGACTGACCAATTTCAGTCCTGAAATATCAATGGGAAGATTCAAACTAAAAAATACTTCTTGTATGTATTTTTATTCATTTTAATGATATAACCCATTTCATAATTGACCGAATATGTTCAGTCAGTTCAATGTTCCAATATCTTCGTTTATCTTTGGTGCACTTTTCATTGATTTGCACTTCTCGTTGATTAAAGGAAAAATACAAGTGGTAATTGGGAATGTGATATTATAGCAATTCACTGATATACATACATACATACATACATGTGTTAATAAGAGTGAGTAAATATAGATTTATGCAAATAGTTATACCAAGTCTTTTGTAGAGATATCAACTCAATGAAGACAATTGGTGAACGGTTGCTCAAACATTGTGGATCGGTTGAAGTTAGACATTAACACCGTTGGATGCCGATCAGCTGAGTGGTTTGTCGGTTAAGTGCTTTGGAGCGAGACTGGTATTTCCTGGGTTCGAATCTCTCTCGCGAGTGCGGGATCGTGGATGCGCACTGCCACTGAGGAGTCCCATAATAAGACGAAACGGCCTTTGTCCAGTGCTTCCAGGTTTTCCCTGGTGGTCTAGCTTCAATTGACTCATGATTTCAACTATGAAAATACGAATAGTTTACGCCATGTCATCATAATGTAACAATGATCTTGAATGACTGAATTATGTAATATTGTTAACCATTGAGTTACGATTTATTCGTCTAATGAAACCGTAATGATGGTGACCGTATTCTAAAGGTCGTCCATTCAATACTACTACATTATGAAAATGATGTGCTTCAAGTAATGATGATGAGTACTACAGAACTCAATGAAAATCTTTGAATTGCTGTTGTTTCAATTCTTAATAAATCATCATTTATGACTAACCAAAACGTGTCACAAATCCATGAAGTCACTGACAAGTGGACTGAGTCATGTTGGTAGGTGTAGACTACTTGGTTGGGATCCGCGACATGATGACAACCGATGGTTAGAGATCTTGAATGATATGGCTCGAAATCGTTTGCAATGGCAAAAGTGTATTCACTCTTAGTGTTCTCCTAAATTCTAATCTTCTGAATTCTTCATGTCTCTATCTTTTTTCTCTTTCCAAATTTATTTCATTGAATTATACTCCTTCAATAACATCTTCAAACCCTAATCTTTCGGATTACTGCTTATACTCTTACTACTTCTACCACTCTGTGATTTAAATGGACAACTGAACCTCTGTGTTAATGTGGTATGGCAACTCGAAATGATGTACGTACGTACTTGCGTAGTTCTACGTTGTGACTGACTGACTGATACACTCAGTTTAAGGTTTATTCATCACTCAATAAAACAAAGTGAAACTACAAACCATACTCAGACACAACTTTGCTCAGAAGCGGCTTCATTCATACTAGTCAGTTTTGATTCATATCACTCGTATGTGCATATAAAATTGATCATTTTAACTATCTCACAATGGTTAAATAGAGCAGGCTTATAAATGTTTACTTCACCGCCAACTCGATTATCGTTTGTTGTCATAACAGTGGATTAGATTTCTCAATTCATGATGCATTACTGAAACCCTCAACTAAATTCATATACATGTATTTTGTGCACCGAAACATTCTACATACTGCAATAGATTACAACATTGATGGTCGTGTTGTCGTTGCTGTTGATCACTGAAAATTCCATCTTAAAATTACGTCAACTATCTTCATACAGTTTGATTTAATCACTCTCTAATCAGTCAGTCAGCTAAAACGTAGGACCAGACACATTTATGCATCGGTCCAAGTTGCCATACCTCGTTAGCACAACAAGATGAACACCGGATTCATAGAAATAGTTAATTTAGTGATGGTAGTATATAAAGAAAGGTTGTATATAAGAATATAGTATAGGAAGGAAGACAGATATGAAGCAATTTTAATCTCAAGGTTTAAGAGAAGAGAAAGAGTGTATACACCTACACCATTGTGATCGAATCTGAGCCATTTCACCTAGAGTCTCCAACCATTGGTTACGATAGTCACAAGGACCCTAACCAAATAGACTGTATCTACCAAGATGACTCAGACTAGAAGTTAGTGACTTCAAGCACTGATGCCATGTTTTGGTTTGGCCACCCCTAACTCCCTTCCAACCCTTGTCAATACTAGTCAGCGTTGTGCGTCTTGGTAATCGGTGTTCAGGCATATGTAACACGTGACCGAGCCATCTCAGTCGATGAAGATTTACAACCTCAGCAAATCACTCTCTAACATTCAATGAGATTTCATTCGGTTTCTTCTAATCGAAACTGTCTTCGTTGTCTTGACGTATGTAGAAACAATGTATTTTTAATGAATAGGATGACATGTGTATCTTTGTACTCTTGATTTGCTGAAATAATGAGTATTCTTTTAAAGGAAGTGGATGATGATGTTTGTTTGTTTATGTTACTATGGTGGTAAAGTGTCAGCTGATGTTTACACACATTTACACTTTGACTCAATATACACAACTTAGTCAACTGATCTTCTCACTCGAATGTGATTGGTAACGAAATCGTTTAATCGCTATGGTCCACTCTTATTCGCTGTATTTTCATTGGTTATGTCTGTTGATGTTAATGATGTTGTATAGTTTTATGCAGTCGATATGCCACAATTTCGTTTAACTCATTCATCCACACTTATTTGTAAATGGTTCATTAATGAAGAAGACAGATGAATGGATTGTTAAATGTTGAGGTAAGATGGTAGTTGGAGGTGGTCAACAGGAAACCGTGGACCCGGGTTTCGTGCTACTTGGCAATCGTCAGCAAGGTGTACCTGTAATCTTGGGGGAACTGGTGCTTCCTGACGGATTCCATCCCGTGTCACTCAGCTTCACAGTCAGAGACGTTACCACCAGTTCCCTCAAGATTACAGGTACACCTTGCTGACAATTGCCAAGTAGCACGAAACCCGGGTCCAGGGTTTCCTGTTGACCACCTCCAACTACCACCTTATCTCAATATAGTGCACATAGTATCAAGCCACCTAGACTAGTGGCCACATTGCAACTTGATCGATAGCATTCTATCAGCACTAAGAAGCACTTGAAACACATGATATTGATCACCACCAAGTGATCAATCAATTGTGATGATTGGATGTATTTTGTGTTATGGAATATTTTTGACACGAACCTGTTGACCTAGTTAATTGATGTAATTGACTTCAGATTTACTATACATAGTAGTTTTTTCTACATAATGATTATTCCTTGGGTCCATTGGTTTCGTTTGCTGTCAAAGTATCTCATCACTTCTCATAGAATAATGGTTTCTAATTCTCCTTGGTCTTCCCTCTTTCTCTAGAGTTTATCGTATAGTCTTTATTGTTTGTGTTATTTAAGCAGAGTGAAAATACTTTACTTTCATCCAATGTGGCGTTAGCTTGAACCACAGTATCGTTAATCTTACTGAAATGCCATTACACACCGATTGGACAATTCGTTATTAAGTCACTCTTCAAGTTATATTAGCTTGTGTGTTGTAAATCGTATTGTAGGGCCAGTGAAATGTCACTGAACCCTAACCAAATCATTCGGCAGTTGGGTCACTAAATATTGAACAGATCATCGATCCCCGTCCAGGTCGAGAACAATCAACGCGCATCAATTAATCCATACGTCATGGATTGGCCCATGCGGTAGTGGTTTCACTTTCGCTTATATCTACTTTAACTAATATATTCCTGTAACAACGTCCTTTGTGTTGTGCAGTCTCCAAAGCATCTATGATCCCTTAATACGTCGATGGGGCAATTCACGTAAGGTGCTGATCGCGAGGTGTGACTTCAGCTTTAGTTGGTTCATCACCATTCTTATCTAACTCTAGCAGGCTTCCAATCATTCGATATAGATCATCAACGTTGATAGTCTACAGTATCAATCACACTTCAATAATTGACACGGAGGGTCCACCTAGGGGAGTTGGAAAACCCTCATTACAAACCAATGGAGCATATGGGCTGGCTCCATTATCCTGAGGGAACAAATGGCGTATGAACCAATCGGTGGTCACCGGCTATCATGGGAATGCATCTCCTTACGATGCTCCACTGTCTTGTGAATCAGATCTTTAGATCAAAGGCTCCGGGTGTGGACCCCTAAGAAAACCACCTGCTTCAGTCTGGGCACCTGAGCAGTATCACAGCCCTCACACAAATCGAATAAGATTTGTGTGGTGCATATATATCTGGTGCTTCCTTGTACCAATATTTATGTGTTTAACTAAAATAAAATAAATATGTTTTAGTCAATAGGTTGATGATTTCATGGGGTGATCCTACGCCTCTGTTTAAAGGCTTCTAGGTTCCTTCCAACCTACTCTTGCACTGACCAAAATTATGTATCAAGATGAATTCCTTCCTTTCTTACTTACGCCTGTTACTCCGAATGGAGCATAGGCCGCCGATCAACATTCTCCAACCCACTCTGTCCTCGGCCTTCCTTTCTCGTTCTACCCAATTATTGTTCATTCTTCTCATGTCTATATTTCTCGGTGTAATGTGTTCTTTGGTCTTCCTCTTCTCCTTTGACCTTCAGGATTCCATGTGAGGGGTTGTCTTGTGACACAGTTGGGTGATTTCCTCAAAGTGTGTCCTATCCACTTCCAGCGCTTCTTACTTATCTCCTCCTCCACTGGAATCTGGTTTGTTATCTCCCACAGTAACTTGTTGCTGATAGTGTCTCGACATCGGATCCACACGATGGATGAATTCCTTACTATAACAAAATGTCTATTATTGATTAAATCGATTATCAATATTATTTACTATAGTCGATTCATTTCATTTAAAGTCTAACTGTTGTTTTCTTTCTATTTTCTTTAGTTAACTTTATTCAATCCAACTGGTCTTGTCGTAAAAATGTTTGTAATTGTATATGATTTAGCTGATATGCCACCAAATTGTCAAACATTTCTAAGACAACGTACAGTTTATATGCCAATACAACAACAACAACATCATCATCAATTTGATTCATCTCAAATGATCTCAAATCAAATGATGAATACTACCCAATCAACATCTTCCAATTGTCCTCTTCATAAACCTTCATATAAATTGACACCATGTCAAACCACTACACATACCCAAATGAATCATTCAGATTGTAATAATAGTCTTATTACACCTAGTGGATCGGTTAATACATCATCCAATTGTACTATAGATCATTTATGGAATATATCATCAAAATCATTCACTGAACCCAGTACACCATTTCTATCCTTTTCATCACAATCTTCATCATCATGTTCATGTTCTTCTATTGCATCTATTTGTTCATTAAGTTCATATGGTTCACAAAGTGCTGTTAATAATAATAATACTACTCATACTACTGGTATATCATTGAATACACGTAATGAATTACCTGCCTACTTACGATATCTAGTTCATTTAAGGTAATATTATGAGTTGAAATTCACTTAGTATTGTTTGTTTGAATCTTCGCATTGATGTTTTAAGGACTGCAACTGGTCAGTCTCTAATTGGCATATGTGCATACTGTGCGTATTGCCTCGATATAGCCCCAATTCACAAGCATTATGAGCAAAGATGGATAGTGGCTAGCAGTGGAATCCAGTCCGACGCTCGTTTCGTCCTATTTGGGACTCGTCAGCTTGATGTATCTGCATCTCAGATTTGTTGATGTTCACTCTGGGACTCGAAACCAGGCTATACTGATGCAATACGCACTGTATGCACATATGCCAATTAGAGACTGACCAGTTGCAGTCCTAAGAACATCAATGGGAAGATTCAAACAAACAATACTAATTTAATTTAAACTTCACCCCATTGCACAAGCAAATGGCTATCAGGATTCAGTAGCCGAGTGAATAAAGCGATAGCATTTGAAACGAAAGCTACTGGGTTCGAGTCGCAGAGTGAACATCAACTCTGAGATGTAGGTACATCCAGCTAATGACGAGTCCCAAATTGGACGAAACGCGCGTTTTAACTGGATTCCACTGTTAGCAACTATCCATCTTTGCTTAATATGATAACTTGTTCATTTAGTTATACTATTCCCTTGATTCTCAAGTGCATGTACTGGAGAGTAAGAAAGTATTTAATCCGTTTTTTTTTAAAGAAGTAAATGACTATCATCTCTTATGTTGACACTTCTTAGTGGTAAGTCGCAAGATGTCGTTCGTTGTATATTCATGGAATCTTTATTTTGTGAGTTTAATTCAGCTCACTATATGTACTTTACAACGTTAGGATTCAATCTAAACTATTGAATTTATGTATTCACTTTGTATGGATCTATTTGTGCTTATAAATATCATTTAATTATCAATCGTTATAGTACTGTTTTTCTCTTGGCATGTTGAACTTAAACATTAACAGCGTTAGTCTAGAGGCTAATCGTTCGCACTCGAAACCAACAAGTCCTGGGTTCGAATCCCGGGGGCGAGACCATGGATTCGCACCGCTGAAGAATCCTATTCTAAGACGAAACGGCCATCCTGTTCTTCCAATTTTTCCATGGCGATCTAGCATTCATTGACTTATGAATTCTACTATAAAAAAGGGCTTTACTACATTGACATATTTGTAGGAATACTACACTCCAATATGCAATACTCGCTCACTAAACAACTAGTAAAATCCCTAATAATGTTTAATAAAACACTAATTGGACAAAGAAAAAATTTCACCGGTTACATCTGTCTTCACTTATAAAGAGATTACAATCTAAGTGGATTTTAATCAAAAAAGGACAGACTTACATTGGTGTCAAAATGGAATCAGAGTAATGAGAAGGAGATGGATTATGAATACAGTGGTCTTGAGTGCTGTTAGAGGTATGAGGGCAGTTATTACTTCCCAGTTGCCCACACCGTGGAAGGGTTTTTCTAGAGGTACTTGAGAAGTAAATCGGATTAGAAGTGGTCTTAATGACCTGAGAGCGTGACCACAGTGACCAAGGGACAACTGCTTGAGGTCGGTCACACACAACCTTTTTGTGGGTAGTTTTTGTGTTAGCTCCCTTCTTCAAAGGACCTTATCTCCGGAGACGAATGTCCGTGGGATAAGGCAAGGTGTGCATTTTTAGGGTCGACCTTTTCTAACCCCACCCCTTCTTGCAGTAAGGCATCATCGCTGTTATGCTGGCCGTCTGAAGGAAACACCTTACTGCTTTCACACCTCTGTACAGTCAGCAGTACGAGTTCGCAAAATACGATTTAATGTCTGTTCAGTTAAAGCCATAACTAAATATACCTAAAATGCTTATCAGACCTCATTTCTAAAAATTAGTCATTGTAGTCATATGGAAAAATGTAGAGTATTAAAATCTTATCATTATGCTTAAAGAAGACGGTTGTTCCAGAGAATGTAAACTTTTTGTTTGAGTTGTACCGTTCATCAGTCAATCTCTGAATATTTATTTTGTTCAAAATAATCGATTTTCTTTGGAGAATCCCGGTATTTTCAACCTCGAGGCACAATTTCTCTACTTTACATTCATGATCTTGCTTTAAATATTGTTATCCAACTATGAAGTACAGAGTTATGGGTATGTTACCGGATAAATCCATGAATGTTATAAGTATAGTATAGGGATTAGTTTGACTTATTTGTTATATTCGCTACCTGAATAACACAGAATACTGTTTACAGCTATAGCACTCGAACGTACGGAACGCACACAGTCGCAAATTAAAAGAAAGCCGAAGAAGTGTTTGTTGGGTTAAAATCGAAATGCACAGAAAATCATGGGTATTTATAAATATTAGCGTTTGTTATTATCAACAATATAATTTAGCCAATCCACAAAGATAAATTTTATGCTACTGTCCAACACTAGCATGTCATGTTGATATTCTACAAAGCTTCATCACCTTCTGACTGTATGGAAACTCTTGGGTTCCTTTAGGGCCTCCAGAGGCTCCGTCGTGGTTCTCGGAATCCGTCCCAACATTATTCTTTTTAAAAAAATCATGACGATTTTTCATTTGGTATCAGCTATTAAGTAAACAGTTATCATAAATCAACGTACTTACTTACTTACTTACTTACATCTGATACCCCTCGTGGAGGAGCATAGGCCGCTCACCAACATTCTCCATCCAATTCTGTCCTGAGCCTTCCTTTCCAGTTTTTTCCAGTTGTTATTCATCCTTTTCATATCTGCTTCTATTTCCCGATGTAATGTGTTCTTTGGCCTTCCTCTTTTCCGCCTCCCTTCCGGATTCTAAGTTAGGGATTGCCTTGATCATAAATCAACAGTATATGGGAAAAAATAAAACGCTTTCCATGACTAATCAGTCTATTAAAGTTGGTTTTTACAAGTTTTTCCGTTTGAAAATCGAGAACATGGACTTATAAATTCACTTAGTATTGTTTGTTTAAATCTTCCCATTGATGCTTAATCACTGCAAATAATCAGTCTCTACATCCAGCTGACGAGTCCCAAATAGGAGGAAACACTCTTTGTCCTAAATTTCACTGCTAGCCACCATCTATCATTGACTTATAAGTTCATGTAAACGGGTTTTCGAATTTTCATATTCCCAAACACGCTGTAAAAACTTAAATAGTTCACGGGTACTCAGTACATTCATCCTAGTTACCATTATTGTTTTTACTCGATAATAACACCAAAAAAAAACGTTCTGACGAGTACAAACATAACATGATTTCTGCTGCTTGCTTAACTTTACCCAAGATAAAAGTCCCTCATTTTTTGGATTTCGCTTAAAAAGCCAAAGTAGTTTTCTCGATTCTGATTGGATACTTGTCTACGATAGTTTTACCCCATAAATAACCAATAAGATTTAAGGTCATAGTAAACTTCATTCTGGTTGGTTATTTCGGTATACTTGATAAGCATCTTGTTATATGTTCATTTCAGAGGGAGGTTTTGTGTACATTTTAGTAATTTAGTATTTGAATTCATGAGTCAATTCAAGCTAGATCACCATGGAAAACGTGGAAGTACTTAATAGCTGTTTCGTCTTAGCATGAGATTCCTCAGCAGTGTTCATCCACGATGCCGCCCTTGGGATTTGAACCCAATACCCTTCGGTCTCGTACGCGAACGCTTAACCTGTAGACCACTGAGTTGGCCGGTATCCAACGGTGTTCATGTCTAAATTCAATCAATCTGTGCTATTGCGTCACCATCCACATAAATTATTTTATTATTTATTTCAACACATAAATATTGGTACAAAGGAAGCGATAGATACATATGCGCCACACAAATCTCATTTGATTTGTGTGAGGGCTGTGATACTACCCATGTGCCCAAACTGAAGCAGGTGGTATTCTTAGGGGGCCACACCCGGAGCCTTTGGTATAAAGATCTGATCCACAGGGCAGTTGAGCATCGTGGGGAGATGCAATTCCATGATTACCAACGATTGATTCATACGCCATTTGTTCCCTCAGGATACTGGAGCCAGCCCATATGCACCATTGGTTTGGAATAATGGTTTCCCAACTCCCCTAGATGTTCTCTCTCAGTATCCACCAACCCGATTAAAGCGCCGGACATTCGCTTTCCATCCTCTCGAATTCGTAAACAATTCCAGTGCCACGAGAAGACAGTGAGTAGGAGTTGTGTGGCGGAGGCTATATATGCATGTTGCCATGTGAGATCATTTGGAGGCGACCACCATCCAATATAATCTTCAATGAGTTATTATCTCACAACAGACACGGTTGAACTCCACTGGTCACAGCTTCGAGGAATTTCAAGAAATTGGATCCTTTGTTAGTTCGTTTTTGTCTTGTAATTTTTAAAACACTTAAACATGTTTATTTTCTATTCTCTATTGTCTGTAGATTTCATACAACACGTTCTGGTAAATTATACCTACATACTGATTTACGTTTAATATTTTCACGTGATAAATTTGAATTTGATCCACGTATAGCAACTTATGAATTACGTTCATTTATTGATGCACCATCAAATCCACGTTATTCACCTAAAAAATGGTCAACACGTCAACAACAACATCATCATCATCATCAGTATACAACAAAATATCGAAAATCAATAAATCATTGATCTATATCCCTTGATCAAAACAAAAAAAGTTACCGATTCCGATGGATGGATCAATAAAAAGCACTCAAAGAAACTTTTATTGATTTGCTTATTTTCATAAACCATTCAAGTATCTATCGATCTATATAGATACTACTTATTTCCATCTATGTTTGTTGTTCATAGGCATGGGCTCCAGTTCTCATTATTTTTTTGTGTGTGTGTTTATTTTCTTACTGTGATATCTATATTTCCTTTGGCATATTTACAGTATACACCCATTTATATATCTTGCTTTTTATTTCTCTTTATTCTTTAATATACTACTTATATACTGTCACAGTTGTGCATTTTTGTGCCTAAATATTCGGTGATTACTGTATAATACTACTACTACTACTGCTACTACCACCCCTAATAGTACTACTACTACCACTACTATTGCCACTACTACTACCACTACTATTACCACTACTACTACTACTCCTACTACTACTACCACTATTATTACCACTACTACTACTACCACTACTCCTACTACTACTACCACTACTACTACTACTACTATTCTATCTGTTTAATGTTAAGTTAAACCATTTAGAAATTGTATAATACATCATATCTTTCTGATTATTGTTTATCTACCGATTTATCATTTTTGGTTTGTTTGATAATATTCACTTTTACTGTTTTGTACGCCTTTGATGAATTCTACATAGATACATCCTCTGTTGGGGAAGAACTCAATAACATAACATTTTCATGTATGTATGTATGTATGTATGTATGTGTAGTAATGGATGGTTATTTTCCCAATAATGTTAAACCGGGCTTGATTTTGCAATGTTCTAATGTATATACTACTACTATCATTACTATTATAATTGATATTGTTATGATCACTTATATCCACATTCAATTATCCTTTTACACTTTCTTTCGTTTGTTAATCATTTGTACACTTAAGCACACATACACATACATATACACACAGACCATCTGACATACAGTTCGATCATATTGACCATTTCGTTAGAGAATAATGGTCGGCGGCCTATGCTCCATTGGGAGTAACAGGTGTAAGTAAATAAGTAAGAATGGCATCTAATGTGAACTCATACACAGAAATGCTAGTCAGTGATGTTTAATTGATTTTATGATTATTATTACTTCTACTGTCATTGATCCCTTAGTGATTAGTTCTTTTCTTTTACTTTTTTCACTTCTGAAATGATCTTACTATGTCGTTAACTTCTTGTTGTTGTTGTCCCTCATTATGGAAAGTTGTCCATGTTTTTGTACTGGGATGATCAGATGTTTATTTGTTTTTGTCTTTTAAACTGGATCAATCAATAAACCTAATAACTCTTTGTGTCTTTCATCATTGTAAACTGTTAAAAAAGAAACACCCAGATGAAGTTGGGGTGTTTTCTTTTTTTTTACCTTTTAGAAGACTTTCTATCTATCATTGTGCATCTGGATGTTTGGATTTGGATGCGATTTATGTGGGTGTGTATTTCTCTTATTCATTCCCAAATCGAATCACTTACCCCACTACTACTACTACATGACGCACACAGATTAGATACTAAACTTAATCATTTGTAATCTATATTACAATCTTATTCATATGAATGAATGTACTCACCCTTCTTTTTTCTTCTCCCAATCGTGTAACGTTAAGACGTTATGAGGGGTGTATTTTACATATACAAACAAATGGTCGGATTTGTATAGTTATATTGATGTCGATGATGGGATGGGGTCGGTAACCTCATACCCAACCCCTCCTTTACCACGGGGGGCTTGAGATACTGGCAGTAGCCTCCGGAGGAGCTACAGACGGAGTTATCTTTATTTAGTGATTGGTAAATAATTATTAACTATATTGATCGATGAATGATTGAATTATGATGATCAATGAATGTATACTAAATAATGATATTGTAGAAAGAGATCAGTTCTACACTCACCAACATACATGGATTTGTTTACCAGAATTGATTTTATGATCAATTACATTGGATCAAGTTCCATTTACAGACTATTCATTGATTTGTCAGCATTGTTTAACATACCTCTTTCGCTGTGTGTGTGTGTGTGTTTGTATGTGCTCAATGAGTTTATATTCTCATTGAATGATTGATTGTATCAAGATCAATCATCATTCAATGTTAAGAAGAGAGATACTTGTTCTTGGTTCTTTGATTCTTTATCTCCAATAATCGATTCATCCGCACACACACACATGTATACTCATTCGCTCACTGATATACTGTGATGCAATTTGTTTGTCTTGTTTTGTATATCTAATCTATGCCTTTATTAACTCAATATGAGACTGTATTGTTTAACTACCTTCATTTGTGTGCTTCATTTGATGGGTTATTTTATTGTTGTTGCTGTTTTTTTGTTTTCTTTCAGTTTTTCTTCTTTTTTTTTCATTTTGTTTATCTATTGATATTTATTTTTCTTTATTTTTATTTGTCGAGAAAAAAATTGATTGTCACAATGATTGTTGTTTGTTTGTTTCCGTGTGGTCAGAGTAATTGTGGAAGGTTCTTGGAGATACGACTGACCATCCTGTAGAATTGTGAATCTGAGTGATAAGAGATTGAATTCATCTGAGAGCATCAGTTCCTTTTAAGACTTCAGGTATACCCTCCTGATGAATGTCAAATAGTAAGAAACCTAAGTCTATGGTTGATTGCCTCCAACTACCATTTTATGTAAACTAATTATTTCATAGATTTTAAATCATTTACTGACTACTTACTGATTTAAACGCATTTAGTATTGTTTGTTTGAATCTTCCCATTGATGTTTTTAGGACTTTAACTGGTCAGTTTGTAATTGGCATATGTGCATTCTGTGCGTATTGCATCGATATAGCCTAAATTCCCATCAATGGAAAGATTCAAACAAACAATACGAAGTTGAATTTAAACTTCACCCCATTGCACAAGCAAGTGGCTATCAGGACTCAGTAGCTGAGTGGATAACGCGATAGCATTTGAAGCGAACGGTGCTGGGTTCGAGTCACGGAGTGAACATCAACTCTGAGATGTAGGTACATCCAGCTAATGACGAGTCCCAAATAGGACGAAACGCGCGTCCAACTGGATTCTACTGATACCCACTATCCATCTTTGCTTACCAGGATAAACAAAGTGATATCTTATAGGAAAAATCTTCAGTTCATATATGTATATTACTAAGCGGAGGTTGAGTACTTAAAAAGTTTGTTTGGGCGAGACTATAATTCATGGACTAGCCAATCAGAAGCGTTTGAAGGATTTCAAGGTCACGGCGCCTATTTCAGTACCTGATGCTCATGTACAATCGGTTCACAGAGAATTTTAGAGAATACTTGACAATTAAGCGGCTATAACAAATGAAACTACTAAGAAGTTGCTGTATTTGTAATTACAAGTATTAAATGACTTGTTGACCTTGTGCAGACTATCGTGATGTTGTCCATCGATGTGATATATATGTCGAAGGAAAACGTTTGCTAGAATAAGAATCCTTATCGGTCGATCCAGACTGAGATTAAGTCATATTATAACAATTGCCGCCAACTGTATAATAAAAGCATCAGTAACATTCGCTGTAATAATCGCAGATGTTACTGAAGATTCGGCTGTTCAGTAGCATGAGTATTGTAGGAACATATCCTTAATAAAAATGATAAACTTACACAACCGGAGTACACACAAACAATAATAAAGCTATGTGGTCGAGGCTGAGAGGGTTTTTGTGACCTTATCATGGCTCCAGAGACTAACTATTATGGAGTCATATGGATGAGTTCATTTACCTTATACATTACGATTTTGGAACCTTTGAATCTTTTTCTAACCTTGGACCATGTAAAAGAAGTGTATCCAATTTAATTCTATGGTTTTGTATAATATATTTTTACTCTATACTGACTGTTTACTGATTGGCCAACATTTCTCAATGTCACATAAGATTCGTTCAAAAGTCGTCCATAAATTGTAGTCACGCCGTTTGTTTGTGTTGAGCTGCAAGTTCGAACCTCTTTAAAATGATTTATCTTTAGGCTATTGATTATAGAAATTCATAATTGGTAAATAAGTTATGTGCTTTGATGGTATTATTGTAAACAACAATGAATAAGTGCTACAACTTCCCTAGGTGGACTCGCCGTGTCCACCAACCCGCTTGAAGCGCCGAGCACTCGCTTTTCGTCCTCTCAATGTCGTAAACAACATTAATGCCGTGAGTAGGACTTCCCTGATAGAGGCTATATACGCGTGGCCATGTGAGAGCATTTCGGGAACAAGAGCGTACTTTCCCCATTGCAATGATAAAGTTAGGATAGGATAGACTGAAATATAGTAATGATATGGTGAATTGATTCGTTTAATTTTTGAATCATCATATATCTTTTAATGCTCTAACAGTAAAGATCTAATTCACTATGCTGTTATATTAAAAGTGGTTCAGGAAATTGATCGGTTGTGCTCTACATTTTTTTGTGAACTTACTTACGCCTGTTACTCCTCGTGGAACATAGGCCGCCCATCAGCATTCTCCATCCACCTCTGTCCTGGGCAATCCTTTGGCGATTTCCTTAATGTATGTCCGATCCACTTCGAACGTCTTTTCCTAATTTCCTCTTCAGCTGGAAGCTGGTTTGTCCTCTCCCATGAAACGCTGTTGCTGATAGTATCCGGTCAGTGAATGTTGAGTATTTTGCGTAGACAACAACTGTTTATGAATACATGTACTTGATAGATGTAGTAGTTCTCCACGTTTCAGCTCCGTACAGTAGAACTGACTGTCTTGACGTTCGTATTGAAGATTCTCACTTTGAAGTTAGTTGATAGTTGTTTTGAGTTCCATATGTTCTTCAATTGGAGAAATGCTGACCTTGATTGCCAATTTTTGTGAACATGACATTATATATATTGTGATTGCTCAGTGGAATAAATGTGACTACCAAATTGATTATTCGCTTAAGTGAACCGATGTCTGAATCTCTAACCGAATGAAACTTAAAAATAGCAACAACTGACCTAGTGCTCATTAGGATGTTGAAAATTGATTCCTAAGTAGTATCATGTTTATTTAATGGTTAGCAATGGTAAGATTCAGTTAATTAAGTTTGTTATGAAGCTCACTAGCTTGGTTTTCTGTTATTAATAACTTACTCCTGTTAACCCTCGTTGAGGAACATAGGCCGCTCACCAGCATTCTCCATCCAACTCTGTCTTCCAAAATCCTTACCAGTAGCTATCCATCCTTTTCGCGTCTGTTTCCAAGTCCCAACTCAGTATGTTCTTCGGCCTTCCTCAATTTCCGTGTGTCTTCAAGATTCCATGTTAGCGCTTGCCTCGTGTTGTAGTTTGATGATTTCAGCAATATGTCTATTTTCATCGTCTTTTCCTAATTTCATCTTCGAATGGAACTTGGTTTGTTCTCTCCCACAATAGATTGTTGCTGATGGTATCCGACCAACGTATATTCAGTATCTTACGTAGACAATTGTTTATAAACACTTGTACAGTTTTGATGATGGTTGTGGTAGTTCTACAAATTTCATCTTCATACAGTAGAACTTTGTGGATAATTGTATTGAAGATTATGACTTTGATATTGGCTTGAAGATTGTTGTTCTGAGTTCTATGTGTTGTTCAAGTGTAAGAATTTGGTCCTTGTTTTTGACAATCCTCCTCTTGACGTCCGCATCAGATCTTCCACGTTCATCGATGATAGTGTTCAGGTACTTGGAAGTTTACACCCTTTTCAGAGCTTCTCCATAATGTGTGATTGTGTTGGGGCCCGCTGTGTATTGTTTGAGGATCTTGTGTTTCCCTTTGTGAATGTTGAGTCTTACTTCTTCAGAGGGTGCTAATAAGCTGACAGTTTTTATCCGCATTTGTTGGTGTGCGTGTATGAGATTGAAGAATTGGGTAATTTGAGAAGTCTAAATCGTTTAGTCGCATTCAACCTGTCCATTGTATTCCGTACTTCCCATCAAATGTCGAGGTTTCCATAATGCAATCGACCACCAGATGGGAAAGGTGGAGAGTAGGTACCCTTGTCTGACTCCGATTTTCACTTGGAATGCATCAATCAGCTGCCCTCTATTCGCGACTTTGTAGACTCTCGTAGGAATTCCGTATGGTGTTGACGATTTTCTCAGGTACTCTATAGTGTCGTAGAAGTCTCCATAAGGCTTTCTTATCCACGCTTTCAAATGCTTTCTCATAATCAAGGAAGTTGATGTATGGTGACGAATTCCATTCAATTGATTGTTCAACGCTTATCCGTAATGTGGCGATTTGGCCTGTGCATGATCAATGTTTACGGAATCCGTCCTGTTGATCTCGAAGTTGAGCGTCTATTGAATCTTTCGTCCTGTTCAGCTAAACTCTGTTGAAAGCTTTTCTTGGTACAGATAGTATTTTGATACCTCTGAAGTTCTCACACTTGGTGAGATTTCCTTTCCTTGAAATCTTGATGAGTTATCATTTTTTCCAGTTTGTTGGCACTTATTTCGCTTCCTAAATTTTCCTTAGTAGAATGTGGCGAATCTTTGCAGTTACCTATGCGCCTGAATCCAGTTCCTCAATTAATAACTTGGGCAAAAAACGCATCAATAGAAATCTTTTCAAGTTCGAGTATAATAGTTCGTTTTCTGACTCAAAATACGGCCACCGCAACACCTAGACTAGCACAAATAACCTTGAACAACGACGAGATCATTTTGCCTTTTATTGAGCCCTCCTCTATCCCAAGTCTTCAATCCAATATGAAAACACATCAGAAAAGTTTCTGTTATTATGTTTCAACCATATAGTATCTTTATCTGTATCACAATAACGTTGAAATGTGCCTATTAGTTCAAGTGACTCTACATTACGTCGAATGCATTTTGATGTTGAGTGGTTGTAGATAGGGAGTAAGATACACGACATGATCTAGGTCTCATGCTAGTACACATTCTTCAACAATATATATCTGAAATCTTGAGGAAACCATTGCTGCTCAAGAAATTCGATGCCATCTGAGACTTTTAGTACTAATCAATTATGTTTCCAACTATTCTCCCGTAGGATAAATATTATGGTATTGCTTTATCATTAAGTAGCAATCGATTGTTTGCGTGTATTACATTTCGACTGATACTGTGTAAATTTAGTTTGAATAACACGGAATTCAACAGTACCTTCGATATTTCAGACACATTTTGATGAAGAGTTACAACTAGCCCCCAAATGCCCTGGTACAGCCGAGAGTGAGAAGATTCCGCCCTCCCTCTCGGAATGCTCTCACATGATCGCGCGTATATAGCCTCTAACAGGGAAGTGCTACTCACTGCCTTCTCGTACCACGGGTGTTTCTCACGAAATTGAGAGAACGGAAAGCGAATGTCCGGCGCTTTAACCGGGTTGGTGGACACGGAATGTTCACCTAGGGGAGTTGAAAAACCCTCATTACAAACCAATAATGTATATGGGCTCCAGTATCCTGAGGGAACA